TGGCTGGGGAGAGGGAGGTCTGGGCCTCCCTTCTGAAGCTGCTGCCCCCGCGACCCGACCCCGGATAGGCGGAAGAAAATGGATGGATGGATGGATGGAAGTTGCTAAACTTACTTTTAAAAACAAATCCTTCAGTCCGTGGTGAATTTCCAAATTGTGTCGACTTGTTAAAAACATTAAAACTCCACCGTCTTTGTTTATTTTGCTGCCTGTGCATTGAACCCTGGGATATCCTCGGCTAGTGAGGAAACACGGATGCATCCTCAGATTTCAAGACTTTGTTGGCTGCATGATGAGGAGCCTTGGAATTGGGACAGTACTCAGCTTGGGGAAATGACGTATGCGGCCAACAAATGCGCACTCATGAGGACCCAGCCCCTGAACTGAGACACAACCTGAGTGTGTTAGGGTTGGGTGATACACTAACACTTGATTAACCATTACCTGTTCAAAAATTGAAAACTGGTGATGTATCTGTGCAGGTTTATTTATTTATTTTTTTTCTTTTTGAGGAGGGGCAAAAAGGGCAGTGTTTATTTGTGTACAACAGTAGAAGTAGACTGTTTGTTGCCAAATAAACAAAGTCTCTGATTAGAAACTATTTTGGTTTTAAAACAAGGATTTGCTTAAAATTTTGGACAAGAAATCGACCAAACCAGACAGGCAGCTTTATCATGTTGAAGTGTGGGTAAGTTAAAACATAATGTGCTCATTGTGGCAGCACGTGACGTTACAACTCATGCAGGAAAAATGTCTTGAAACAGATTTTCCGAAACGAGCCTGCACTGAGCTCAGAGGAAAGGTGTCATCACATATTGACAGTTCAGTCATGGTGGTGGCTTCATTAGCCTTGAGGCAACTATAAAGTCAGTGTACTCTGGTTTTTATTTTGAATTGCACATTTTTGTCCTACTGCCCAACTCCTGAGTGTATTTGTGTTTCCACTTACCACAGCTGCTGTTTTTGCAGAAACTGAATGTGATCTTTGTAGAGAATGAAGTTAATTTCTGCCTTCACCTTCTCTCCTTCTTCAATAGGATCCACAATCACATAATCACCTGAAGAAATATAGCAAAGAAATTATAAGTTTTAACTCATTTAGATACATCTTTAAAGTTAGAAAAACATTTATACAATATTTCATAATCACATTAAATTGATACTTCTTGTCCTAATAAAAATATTGGTTCAAATATTAGGGCTGCACACCAGATTGCAATTTTATCATCAGCACCATATCGTCATATACAATATGACGATACGGCACAAACTGCAATAAATGGTTGTTGGCACAAATGTTTACTTTCATTTGTTTTGTCAACATCAGTCTGATAAACAAAATGGACCTGAGATACCACATCAAATCATAAACACTTTCAGGGTTTCCCCTACATGTAATTGATCATGGCACTCCGCCACGGCTAAACAAAAGCTGCCACACCTTCAGAATGAAACAGGGGTTGACACAACCATTGTTTAGTTTGTCCGAGACGACTTATTTTTGTTTCAGACAACCAGATCCCGCCTCCCGGTTGTCCAGTGGACAACCAAGAACAAAAAAAGACCTGGATTAAAGTTTTCCGCTGCGGGTTTTCATCATTGTAAAGATGAATGGGAGGAAAAATAAAACTTGTTAAACTGACGGTTCTCCCCCCCTCCCAAAATATATTTTTATATTTTTATATTTTTATTCAAGAAAAACACAAAGCATGTTTCAAAATACAGTAACTCAAATTAAAATTGTTTTCCCTTTTTACAGTCAAACCCCACCCACCCACATGTAATAAAAAAATGAAGAAATGAAGAAAGAAAAAAATAAAACAAAATAAATAAATAAATAAAAGGACAAAATACAACAAAGAATGGGGGCATTACTTATTTAAATACATGTCAATAAATAAATATATTCAATTATATATACTGTATGTGGTAGGGTTCTATAGGCTTCTGGAAGGAACTCTAAATTTTTAAAGTATTCAATCATAGGTTCCCACATCTCATGGAATTGTCTCATTGAGCCTCTGGTAAAATATTTAATTTTCTCTAATTTTAAGAAAAACATTAAATCAGTGAGTCAGACCGAGACTTTGGGTGGTTCAGAAGATTTCCAGTGCAAAACTATATTTCTACGTGCTGTCAAGGAAGCAAAGGCAAATGCGTTAATCTTATCAATGGATATCATGTGTTCCACAGTCAACACTCCAAATACGGCCATTCCTGCAGACGGTTTGATTTTGGTATTAAATGCATCATTCAGTGTTTTACAGACAGATGACCAGAATCCAATTAAATTCGGACAACTCCAGAACATATGGGTCATATTTGCTGGAGCCAAATGACACCGTTCACACCTGTCATCAATGTCATTATACATTTTTTAAAGCCTAGATTTGGTGTAATAAGTTCTATGAATGATTTTGAACTGTATTAAGATAAGTTGTGCACAGGAAGATGTTCCATTCACTCTTTCCAGAGCACATTCCCAGAAATGTTCAGTAATTATAAAACCAAGTTCTTCAGACCATGCAGTTCTAAGCATATCACTGACAGTTCTTTCATCCAATAAAGAGAACCAGGGTCAAAGTTTTACCCAATCAGAACAGAGCAGGGCGGGTCGTGCCGTCTGACTGACAGCGCTGCCTTTTTTTCTCTCTTTCTCTGTGGATGGGTGGTCAGCTTCCCTCAGCTCAGGTGAACATCTCCTGGGAAAGCCCTCAGCGTTTCCTGGACTATTTTCCACCGAGGATTACGTCGTATTTTATATTTCTAAAAGCACCTCGTTGACAAAACCGTGACCGATCACCTGACTGTTTTTAAAGTAATGGGCAGCGACTGCAGCAGCAGCATCTGTCCACCTGCAGCGCAGCTCTAACCAGCCCGGGACCACATGCCAACCCCTTCAGACGGTTACCTGTATAATGAGCATCAAATATCTGTAATTTGTGCAAAAAAATTCGTATTAATCACACGCGGGTGGGGTGGAGGTGCAAGCAGGCCGCACCCGCCCGGGATGGGGAGGTGAGGGGGGTCTTTTAAAGACGTGTCTACATTTGACTTTTATTTTTTCTAAAATCACAGACTTCTCTGAGTCAGCATCAGGTGCTTGTATCATAAATATCTTCTAAATTTAACCATGTGTTTCAATGCCTTTTAAATACAATCATTTTAGTGGAGAAACTCGTCAGTTTGGTTAAAAAAACAGTAAAAATAAATAATTTCTTTTCTGTGCAGAGAACTTCTCTGCTATAATTTATTTTAAATAAATAAAGCTCCTAAGCAAGCTGTTTAAAAACCTCTTTCCACAGAAAATCTTCAGTCCTAAGAACACTAAACTGTAACTTTTAATGTCATGTACACAGTATACTCTTATTTAAATGAAAATGTTTGAGCTGTAAGCAGAAAGCTGATGGATGTTGATTTTTGCTCACTACTTCAAAGAGGAGGATGAAGAGGAAGTTCTCCTCAAGCAGCTCCTGAAACTGTTAACCAGCTGACAGAGAACATTTGTATACAGTAAATTTTGTATACAGAACAATGTAGCCTGCTTATTGAATTACATTGAATAATTAATTTCTTTTTTAGGTAACAATATGTGGAAGAAAGTTGTGTGGAGTAAGGATGTCCCGATCAGATACTCTGTATCGGTGGCAGATATGGCCAGTTTTTGAAAATCAGGTAGAATCAGATTTAGTCATGTGATGGGGCCGATCCAGTTTTCAGCATCATCGTGCTTTACAACTGCCGTTAAGAAGTCAAGACGCACACAAACATGCAACCATGTCCACAGTGTGGGAACACTTTTCAGTGGAAAACAGTGATGCTGAAACTGCATCTTGTAAAATCTGCAAACTGGATGTTTCTGGTGGTGGGAACAGCAGAGCTCGCTTTAATACTACCAACCTTGTCATTTGGAAAGAAATAAAGAAATAAAGCTATCAGATCGGTTTCAGATCTGTATCGGAAAGACTAATCATTAGAAAAATCAGATTGTATCGGAAGCCAAAAAATCTGGATCGGGACCTCCCTAGTTCAATGGTGATGACAACAACCCTCTTTGTCCACAAACCCTGCTTTAAAAAGTCTGAACGATCTCTTTAAGAGCAAAACAATTAACTGTGCACTCAGAAAACAGGATAATATTATAGATTTGAAGCGGCACAGTTTTTAGAGACATTGCATCACAGTGACAGGGTTGCAGGTTTGCCTCCCAGCTGGGGTCTTTCTGTGAGTAGTTTGCATGTTCTCCCTGTGCACCTGTGGGGTTTTCTCCAGGTAATTTGGTTTTCTCCCAAAAACCAAAACAGAGTTTCTACAGATTCAGTCAAGTTACATTTAAGACTTCAGACTTTTTAAATGCCACTTGAAATGACATTTAAGACCAACTTCACAATAAACACTAATTTTAACTCTAAATTGCCCCCAGATGTGTTTGTCCTGTTTGTCTTTATGCAACACTCTAATGGTTTAAAGCCCTGTCCAGATGTACTCCACTTCTCACACAAAGATGGACACCAGCTCCCTGCACCCAGGAAGACAAATGCGAGTAAAGAAAATCAATCAATGAAAAAATCTGATGGTGAGAAAACTATTTTAGTAGTAAAGTAGTAAATGTTTACTAGTCTGAATCAGAAGAACACAGGTATCAAACAAGAACAGTAGGTCACTGCAGACATCTTGCTTTTTAATCACAGGGGTATCTGAACTGATTCATGTCAACACTTCCATTCTGACAGAACAGACGGTTCATCTCTCAGTGTAAGTCAAGCCCACATGAATTTACTAACAACAACAAATTCATAAGAACTTGTGCCACTGCATTAATAAACTTCACAGGTCAAATCAATCAACTCAAAACAAACAGATGACCATCAACATCAGACATCTTTAAATATTGAAGTATTTAATCTCAATATTAATAATAATGCATTACTCCTCTATATATGACTATATAGGGAGATGTTATATAATTTTGTGCATCATTCATTCACACACTGATGATGGTAAGCTACATAGTAGCCACAGTCACCCTAAATAAAACCTCCCTCCATCAGTTACCTCTTTTAATCCAGATATTCTTCCTGAACTTAGTGGGCATGCTCACTAGGAAGGTATCATTCTGAGCAGACACGGCTTCATGGAGGTTGTTCCCACGGCTCCCTATGATCTGTCAAAATTCACACAGATTAGGGAAACACAGTATGTGTACTTTAACAAATTTAATCAGTAAATACAGTGGTGTGAAAAAGTGTTTGCTCTCTTCCCCATTTCTTACTCTTTTGCACGTTCAGATCACCAAACAAATTTAAATATGAGACAAACATAACACAAGTAAACACAAAACACAGTTCATAAATGAAGGTGTTTATCAACTGCCAATGACTTTGCTATAAACCAACCAAATTTTATAAACAACTGATTAGCTCTTTAATTTAAATGGCATTTCATTAAAAAGATATACAAACAAAAATGTCATCAGGGTGTCAAAACATCACAATCCCAACAGAAGATGAAAATTTTCATCCTTTATCTGAGTTTACCACACAGATCCTAAATATTCAAGATAGAGCCACTTATTCAGAAAAAAGCCAGTTAACAACAGGCCAGTGGTTCCCAAACTCAGGGGGCATCGCACATTTTCCAACATTAACTAAGTCTTTATTTTACCATGTAAGCCATAATTTACAATAATGACCTGGTCAGTATTATAGTCATTATGGTCTTGAGAACAAGGCTTTTTTGGGAGGTGGTTGTGCACTACAGATCCCTGTGGAGCAGCCTAAGCCTGGGTGTTTTTCCCCATTACTTTTATACTTTTAAGTAGTTTTACAAGTAGTAATTTTATACTTTTACTTGAGTAAAAAGCTTCAGTCGATACTTCTACTTTTATAAAAGTACAGCGGGTAAAATAAGTATTGAACACGTCACCATTTTTCTCAGTAAATATATTACTAGAGGTGCTAATAACATGAAATTTTCACCAGGTGTTGGTAACAACACAAGTGATCCATACATACAAAGAAATCAAACCATAAATGTCCAGAAATGAAGTTATTTGTAATAATGTGGAATGGCACAGGGAAAAAGTATTGAACACACTTACTGAAATTTATCTAATACTTTGTACAAAAGCCTTTGTTGTCAATGACAGCTTCAAGACGCCTCCTGTATGGAGAAACTAGTGGCATGCATTGCTCAGGTGTGATTTTGGCCCATTCTTCCACACAAACAGTCTTCAAATCTTGAAGGTTTCGTGGACCTCTTCTATGAACTCTGATCTTTAGTTCTTTCCATAGATTTTCTGTTGGATTCAGGTCAGGTGATTGGCTGGGCCATTCCAGCAGCTTTAGTTTCTTTCTCTGAAACCAACTGAGAGTTTCCTTGGCTTTGTGTTTGGGCTCATTGTCTTGCTGAAATGTCCAGCCACGTTTCATCTTCATCATCCTGGTAGATGGAAGCAGATTTTTATCAAGAATGTCTCTGTACATTTTTCCATTCATCCTTCCTTCAATTATTTGAAGTTTGCCAGTACCATATGCTGAAAAACAGCCCCACACCATGATGTTCCCACCTCCAAACTTCACTGTTGTATGGTGTTTTTGGGCTGATGTGCAGTGTCATTTGACCTCCAAACATGATGTGTATTCTGGCATCCAAACAGTTCAATGTTGGTCTCATCTGACCAGACTATATTCTCCCAGTATTACACAGGCTTGTTTAAATGTTGTGCAGCAAACTTTAAAGGAGCTTCAACATGCTGTTTCTTCAGCAGTGGAGTCTTGCGTGGTGAGCGTGCATACAGGCCATGGTGGTTCAGTGCATTACTTATTGTTTTCTTTGAAACAATCGTACCTGCTAATTCCAGGTCTTTCTGAAGCTCTCCACAAGTGGTCCTTGGCTCTTGGACAACTCTTCTGATMATTCTTTTCACTCCTCTGTCAGAAATCTTGTGAGGAGCACCTGGTCGTGGTCGGTTTATGGTGAAATAATGTTCTTTCCACTTCTGAATTATGGYCCCAACAGTGCTCACTGGAACCTTCAGAAGTTTAGACATTCTTCTGCAACCGATGCCATCATTATGCTTTGCAACAATAAGDTTGTGAAGGTCTTGAGAGAGCTCTTTACTTTTACCCATCATCAGATGGTTCTTGTGTGATACCTGGTCATCATTTGGGACTGAACCAGCTGATATTAACTTGCACTGACAAGGGGCAGGCTTGCTTTCAAATTACTGAGAGAGTTCAGCTGGTGTCTTGGCTTTCCATGCCTTTTTACACCTCCCTTTCTTCATGTGTTCAATACTTTTTCCCTGTGCCATTCCACATTATTACAAATAACTTCATTTCTGGACATTTATGGTTTGATTTCTTTGTATGTATGGATCACTTGGGTTGTTACTGACATCTGGTGAAAATTTCATGTCATTGGCACCTCTAGTAATATATTTACTGAGAAAAATGGTGACAAGTTCAATACTTATTTTACCCACTGTATTTTCAAACCTTAGTATCTATATTTTAACCTGAGTAATGAATGTGAATACTTTTGACACCTCTGACAAAAAGTCCCAGTTTTGTCTCGTCAGTCCACAGAGTATTCTCTCAAAAATCTTGAGCATCATCAAAATGTTTTCTGGCAAAACTAAGACGAGTCTTTTACTGAGTTACATTACTGAGTTGTTTTTGCTCAGTGATGGTTTTCATCTTGGAACTGGTCCATGCAATCCATTGTTGCCCAGTATCGTTCTGATGCTAGAGGCATGAACACTGACCTTAACTGAGGCAAAGTGAGGCTGCAGTTCTTTGGATGTTGTTGTGGGGTCTTTTGTGACCTGGGAAGGTTCCCTACTCTTCCATGTTTTCACCAGTGATGTTACACTCGACACCTCCTGCTCGACACTGTTTCGAGCAAATGAAGCAGAAGTGTCGCGATATGGAGCGCTGCTTCAGCACGCTGATGATCATGTGACTGCTCTAAATGAGGCCTCGTTACGTCACACCGGTGTTGAACTGTTTCAACTCAAGACTTTTCAAAAAGGACCTGATTCACGTGAAAGCTGTGTTTTTTAAGGGGAGGTGCCACGTGAAAGAGTCTTCAACACTGGAGAGGTAGCAGCAAAGAAGAGCAACAGATTGAAACCCATCTCAGCAGAAATAATCTTATTTTTAAATAAAAATGATCTTTGACCCCCCGCACGAGAATTTCCATTTTATTCCTTATTTTAAAATAACTTTTTAGTGATTTAGCAGCCGGTTTCTTGCTAAGGAGTATTTTTGTACCGATTCTGTTGAATAATTAACTTCTTTTTTAGGTAACAATATGTGGAAGAAAGTTGTGTGGAGTAAAGATGTCCCGATCAGATACTCTGTATCGGTGGCAGATATGGCCATTTTTTGAAAATCAGGTAGAATCAGATTTAGTCATGTGATCGGGCCGATCCAGTTTTCAGCATCATCGTGCTTTACAACTGCCGTTAAGAAGTCAAGACGCACACAAACATGCAACCATGTCCACAGTGTGGGAACACTTTTCA